CACACACACACAGAGAGAGAAACACACACACACACACACACACACGCACACACAGAGAGAGAGAGAGAGAGAGAGAGAGAGAGAGAGAGAGAGAGAGAGAGAGAGAGAGAGAGAACATTGCACATGAGAGATCCAGTAGTGGTGACTTGCACGAGGGAAGGAGAGTGAGAGAGAGGGTGGGGCGAGCATGTGTCCACGCACGAGAGAGAGAGAGGCAGGTGGCAGCATGTGTGTGCAGGAGAGATCGAGAGGTGGCAGCTTGTATGAGTGAAGGAGAGAGAGGTTGGGCCGGTCATGTGTGTCCATGCAGCGGGAGGGGGGGGGGGGGGGGGGAGAGACAGAGAGAGAGAGAGAGAGAGAGAGAGAGAGAGAGAGAGAGAGAGAGAGAGAGAGAGAGAGAGAGAGAGAGAGGGGTTAGTGCCTGGCACATTGTGTGGAGAATTGTCTGCCTGCTGCCATCCAACAAGAAATCCTATTGCAGAAAAAGAAAGTGGTTTCAGGAAGACAGTCATTGGCCTACTGCTGTTGTGTCTTTTATTTCAGAGCTGATTCAGCTGAACAATAATTCTGTTGCACACGACAAACTGCCATAAATGTGCTCATACCTCCTTTTGTTTTGCTGGCGGAGGGGCCAGCCAAAAAAAAGAAAAAGAGTGCCTGATCCGGTTTGTTTTTTTTGGGCGCGTAGCACTTGGGAGGCTCATTAGAAAACAGCCTGGAACGCATGGGTGGTTTAAGAACAGAAAAGGAAAAACAGACCCGAAGGTCCCGGCTCCTACCTGACCAAAATGGCTGGTGTGCCACCCAAAAGGAAGAGAGTGCCTGATCCGGTTTGTTTTTTTGGGCCCCAGCCGTCAGGAAGTTGGGAGGCTCATAAAAGAACAGCTTGGGAGACATATGTGGCTTAAACCACCACTGCCCCCGAACCTAACTTTGTTTTTTTTTCCATACCTCAGCCTCCTAGCCTGTACAATGTGAGTCCCAACAGGACAGCCACAGATGCCCGACTAGTGCGTGGCCTGAAAGGCAAGCGAAACAGGGTGCACAGTAGGTTGCGCCGAGGTATAATGTGCACAGACTGGCAAAGTGAACAGTGGATTTGGGGGGGGGGACACGTCTGACAAGGGGTTCGTCTCGCCAGGGAGTCTCAGACGCCCCCGAATCTGGTGTAGGCGCCCACAGATACAGGGGCACTCTCCACTACTCGCCACATGCACAAAAGACATGGAAATACGGAGGTGTATCTTCCCATGTTCTAGCGGAATATTCATTCTAAATTTGAACATATTGTGAGCAGTGGAGCGAGGCACATGGTGAGTGGCGGAGAAAACTATGGGCCTTGTTCCACTGCTCACCAGATGTGCAAAACGAGAATGAATCTTCCGCTAGAAGATGGAAGATACACCTGAAATGATTCACGCTGCAGACACCCAGTTCCGGTCCCAGGGTCCCGACAAGTCCCAAGTCTCAGGGCCGTCCTGTAGGGTAGGCTGTAGGGTCAAGAGGTCGAAGTGTTGTAGGTCGGTAGGTGTTGGTACCCAAGTGTCAGAGGCCGGTAGGAGTCCGTCCGGTACCGACAAGAGAAGTCCAGATGCGTCCAGTCCAGCCCGAGAGTCCCCAGTCCAATTTTGCAGCATGTCCCAGGAAAGTCCGGAAGCAACCGGACCGACAAAATGTTTGCAGCAGACAGGCCACGGCCGACCGGTACCAGTCTGAAGCAGACCAAGCCAAGCCAAGTCCTATATATATAGCTGCTACAGTGCAGCGTCTCATCACTTGGTCAGTTGCGAGATGCGGAAGCACTGCTGCTGCTTGTGCGTTAAGGCAACTTGGGCCCTGTGCGCCTGAAGAAGAAGAGGGCGCTTGTGGGATACTCCATAGCTAGCCTAGAGGTAGAGTAGGAGGACGACGGCCATAGCCGCCAAGGTGTAAGCTTACCTGAGTGGGTGTATCCAGGGTGACGATCTAGATGTGTGTGTGTGTGTGTGTGTGAGAGAGAGAGAGAGAGAGAGAGAGAGAGAGA